CTGCAAGGTGGACTCACCAACCGCCAAGGAGTGGGAACTAACTTGGTTACTGAAAACGTTAGACCATAAGTACGAATCTCCCCGTGAATGGATCCCCCTCATCTTGAAAGTTAGCATCAATAAGAGGGTGTCTTTTGAGAATATAAAGTCTCCAACCTCCCTGGAAACAACGAATCTCCCTGGAAATGTTTTTGAATGGGGGGCCCTCTTATCTGGTCCTACTTGATGACAAGGTAGTAGACAAAGGCGCAAATGAATTGGCCTCAGTTCCATGTGTGAAGAGGAAAATTTGCATTCAAACAAACATCTGTCGTGAGTATGGCCAGCCTTCAGCGGGCAGTATGAAGACTTGTCTAGCCTCTCAACCCCCAGATTATAGGAGACAAAGCTACGGAATTGGCCACTGATCGCCTTCTTTAAATGTGCCCACCTACCAGTGACGACTCAAGTATCTGTTTCGCTCCTGCAGTGAGATCGTGGTCGTACCGTGTCCTAACGGCCCAGATAAGTTGAACGACAGTGAGAGTTGATCTAGGTTTGAAGGAAAATGCAAAGGCCCTATGCAGCATACATAAGGGGTGGAATTAGTGGTTCCTAGCTGTGCGAGGGCTGAGCATGCAATCAAGTCAACGTTAAGGGAAAAATCTGCGAACAGTATGTGCGGCATGAAAATCAGAGGACAGACCAAGGAGATGCGTGATGACGAGTGTGAACTCCACTCACCACAGAGGTAGGGCGATTTGCAGAGGCCAACAAAGTCGATCCAGTCGTAGTCCATTTGCATGACGGCCAGACGTTTGCCTCGCATGATTGTGATGCTGGGCGGGGTGCCGGCTGAGTTTGCACCGAAGGCGGCCGAGGCGTCTTCAGTGTCATCACAGGGATCAGCCATTCGGCTGCCTCCGGCAAACACCAGGATTGGATCCCTAAGCGAAACACATGCAAGACACTTGTTGGAATCAACGGTACCTTTGCAGGTAAAGTCTGTGAAGATGTTGAGTTCAAGCCCAAAAAAGTCGTAAGGCAAGCATGTACGGCTGATGTACACCAATGAAGGTCGGAAATGTGAACATAAAAGCATAAAGTCAGAAGAGGGATGAGCTTCTTGTGAGGACTAGGCGAAACGCAATTAGGAGAGGAGGAGGAGGTTGGTTGAAGGGCACGACCTTCGCGATTGATATTCACCACTGCCACATACGAGACGAGTGGGCGAATTTGTTCACAGTGAAGTAGTCAGACGCTGCCTCGACCTCACTCTTACCTCCCACACCGATTGTGCTTCGATGACAAGATTAAGTCCGTATGGTCGGAAATTGACGTGGTCGAAGTGACTGACGGAGCTAAGTAGCACGTCTGCGCGCGCCACACATACGGCAACTCGCGTGCCAGGCTTCATTCAGGAGATCTCGGATTTCACATAGATGAGACTGCCATACAGTCCGTATTAATGTGCCATTGCAGTCTGATCCTTAACTATGAGAATGGCTGATCGATAGCCTCGGTTGGCAATCTCCCCAGTCCACGACTTTTAGTGTTTTATATACACACATATATATATATACACATATATATATTTTATACACACATACATATATATACATATATACATATACATATACATATATATATATACATATGGATGTAGGCGAAAATATATATATAAACATATGCGTATGTGCTGGAAAACGGGCATCCCAAGAAATTTAATTGAAAATAAGTAAGATTCTTTGGGAAGGGAATAAACTTTAATGAGTAAATTTTCGAGTCTGGTTCCCCAGCTCGTCGTCAGACTTTTGGGCAATGTACAAAAACAGTTAACTATTTAACCGTGTCAAACAAGTGATTCTATGGTTGGCCGAAGTCTGCGCCAATGCGCGTCAACGATTTCGTCATCCCTTCGGCATTGGCTGCGCTCGCTTCCATTTGTCCTTGAGAAATTTGTATGTGGCATCTAAATCGATATGCCGATTGATGCATGCCTCATCTGAGTGCATTGCTTCCAGGAATTCGCGGCCTTTCCTTATTGGGCAGGCGCCAACAATGCGGGTGTTCTCCCATGCAAATTTGTATCCAGTGTCCAGTGTGTGCATAGCCACCTGGGATAAATGATCTCGTCTCCTCACCGCTAACTGATGCTCATGTAAGCGGGTAGAG